ACCTGCCCCAGCGCCACTTTGTCCACCACAAATCCCACTTCGAACCCGGGCCGCCGCGGTGGGAAGCCAGCGACTAACCGTTTGAGCTATGGCATGGCCGATTTTGATGTAAATGTACATTATACAGAGTTTATGGAGGCAGGTTCCTGCGGGGTGTCAGACTTACAATCTGAATGCAGTGTAACTACGTACTATTCGAGCAGCAGCAGCAGCAGTTAATCTGTTCCCCTCAGGGCAACACAGGTGCCCCACAACAGGCGGCAGCTAGCCTTTGCGCCGTTGGCTTGTTTTTTTTTAATCTAGTAACGGGAAACGGTACTGAGGAATTGTCATCACTGGAACCTGTCTTCATGTGCATGTAAATACCGCAATCCGTAATGTCATATTACCATACAGCGTAGGGTAAGGTGATTTGGTGACACGTTTCCCGATGCTAGCCTGAAAGTAACCGGAAACCTGTTGAGCTCACAACTCTTGCCACTGAATGTTCTTCTCACTAGACTTTCCCGTTTGGTACGATCTGAGAAACTCTGAGGATATATAGCGCGAGCATGGATTCGATTGCCTTTACTTCAGGAATGTCTACTCAGCATTATTTTCTTCTTGGTTTATTGTCTGAGTTTTCAAACTATTGCTGAAATAATGAAGATACTATTTCGTATGTGTGTTGTAAATTGCAAAAGAAGGTAACATATATGAATACCACAACAAGTTTCCAACCAGCGCAATGAACTTCGCTTAAAACGACTTAAGATCCAGTAATTTATTTGAAGGTGTTCCTTCGGTATGCCGACTTATTTTACACAACTGAAGAAACTCTTAATTACGCCTGCTAGGAAGACACAGATCAATAAGGAAAAATATTTAATGAGAAATTTCGCAATTTTTACTCTTCACCAACGTTATTAGGGTGGCCAATTAAAGGCGATGAAACGTGATACAGCACGCACGGAGGTTCTGAGAGAAAAGGCGGCTTCAGAGAGACAGAGCACAGGCATACACTGAAAGGGGGGGAAATAAATATATATAAATAAATAAATAAATAAATAAATAAATAAATAAAGGTTATTTACTGGATTCAACTGATTCATAAGTCCAA